AGAAAGAAAGAAAGAAAGAAAGAAAGAAAGAAAGAAAGAAAGAAAGAAAGAAAGAAAGAAAGAAAGAAAGAAAGGATTCCTAGAGAAAAACTATACATTTGAAAAAGTTGCATTATATATATGTATGTGGGTGGATGGGTGTGAGATATTGCATCCCAGCATATATTATTGAAAATCATATACAAAAAGTGTACATTTAGGTTATTTGTGTCTATTAAGAAAAACATTTGTTGCCTGTAAAAACAAACACTTATAGAAAATTTGACGCAATAGAATAGTAAGTAACATGGACCAGATTTCAGTCCTTCCCTACACTGAAGCGTCTTGATTGGCTTTTTTTTTTTTTTTTTTTTTTTGCAGTAAAGTTTTTTTTTTTTTTTGCAGTAAAGTTTTTTTTTTTTTTTGCAGTAAAGTTTTTTTTTTTTTTTGCAGTAAAGTTTTTTTTTTTTTTTGCAGTAAAGTTTTTTTTTTTTTTTTTTTTTGCAGTACAGTTATTCTTTTCTGTTCCACTTCTATGCAGTGTATATCTTGGTTCTGTCCTAAACTGCTTAATGGCATTGGATAGATTTCAGAGAATTTCATTAAATCGATGCCATTTAAATGAAATTCAGTGAAGTTCAGTTTTGTCTTTCTTTCCCAGACTTTGCCATATAAATGTTCTGTAATGTCCACCTTATTTAGACCCTGTTGCCTATTTACTAGTTTGAATGATACAGAATGATTTTATGGAGGCAACTTGAGCTTGTGGAACTCTCTATATTGTTCACCAGGCAAATACGTAATAAATAACATGTTTATATTTCTTTATATCGAAGTTCTCTTGTCTCCTTTGCTTTGCTTTGCTTTGAACGCCATTCCATATCACTTGGGCCACCTTCACATTTTTCATACAGACCTACAGTAAAACAGCAACATGAAGTTAGTGATGAGGCTGTACCACAAATACTTAAGACCAAACTCTGCTGTTTGCAAACTAATTCAAAGATTTGGTAATGCTGTTCTAGACTTAAAACAGGTACGGTCTGCTTTCAGAGTAAAAAGCACTACAGATCTACCTCCAGTGCCAACAGATTAAAGACATAGGATTTTGATGTAAAAGTGGGCTGTGTACCACTCTAGGAGGTGATATTAAACACACACACACATATGTACATGTCGTATATAAATTTGTGTGTTTGTATGTATGTACACACAAACACACACACACAAATACACACATACATGCACACACACACACACGTGCTAGAAAACATTTTTTTCTGCAAGTAAAAAATTATCCTGACAAAGAGAGAGCTAGACTATCTTTCTCCTCCATGTTCTTGTTTTCTATCTGCAAAGAATATGGAGCCCCATTCAAAAATAGCATTTCCATTTCCCCAGTTTGCTGTCTGAAAGGCAGTTGACAGCAACTGTCAAGGCTTGAGGCATGGACCTCCCCAGGGGAGGTGTCGAAATCTTCAGGATAGCAGGCCCAGCCTCTTTTATAGTATATCACCACATTAAGAAAGAGCAGGGCTTTCATTGTGATGCTGTGCCTGCCAACCTGCAGATTTTGATACACACACACACACACAAACGCTGCGGATGCCACTGGGGCTAAATTCAGTTTGAAGACAATGTATCAGACTAGAAACTTGCTGAATCTATATAAAGGGTGCGAGAGCTTTTTTCAAAAAACAGAAACAAAACAGGCTTTCTGAGAGATTGTTCTATGGTCACTGCCCCAGACTTGAGGTTTGTTCTCAGGGAGAAAGGAGAAAGAGAACAGCTGAGATATGCCACAATTACAGGGTGAAAGACATGGGGGAGGAGGAACTGCTAATCCTTCTTGCATATCCACTCCCCAGCTACGCCACACTTGAAATCTCTCCCTCTTCATTATCAGGATTTGGTGGTAATCTGGTCTATTACCACACTGCTCTGCTGCATGTCTACTGTAGATCTCATCCAGGTCTTCCATAACATGGGTGTAGTTTCAGGTCTCACCCCTTTCTCTCCGTGTCAAGCTGCAGTGTGACCTTGTCCTGTTTCTCCCAGAGGAAAAAGGACAACAGCAGCAGTGGGGAAAGCAACAGGGCGGACAGGGTGTAATTTCTAGAGACACAAAGGATAACAGATTAGCATTTGTTATTACTTAAAATGTAAGCGATCTCTCCAGAGAGGAGAAGAGCTGACATTCCCAACAATTTTAAAAATAGGGCAAATAGCCATTAGGCTAACACAGTATGTGGACTTTCCAGAATAGGCTCTAGAGAGCACTGTTCTCTGGAACTCCACACCAGCGTTTAGAAAAACTAAAGTTAGAAAAACACACCAGCGTTTAGAGACACCCAGAGCATTAATTGCCTTGCCATGTAGCCAACGCTCACTTTAAGGGAGAATGCTACCTTTGAGTTCACAAAAGAGCGAAATGAAATAGTAATTCCGAGGTTTTGCTTAAAAAGCCATGTTAAAGGTCTCCCAAATGTATCACTTTTAGCAAATTTCTGATCCAAGATACTCCTATATAGTGAAAGACTGGGTTTCCAGTCCGGTCCTGATGAACAGTTCCTGAATGTAAGAATCATGCCCTTCCAGGGACTGCTAAAATATAGATGCACTTATTTAAGTTAGTTCCAAAATCTTTCATAGTCTATACAAAAGCTGCTAGTTATAGGTTACTGAATTTTCTTACAGACCAGAGCATCTTAGATTGAAATTGCTATCTGGAGCCGAAGGGATGACTTTCCAATTCCTTCCTTCCAGAAAATCTGCTATGAAAATTCAGGAGATCCTCTGGAACTATAGTGGTGCAGGGAGAGGCAACAACTGAAAAAAAGTGCCGTTTTTGTCAGCAAAATTCTCCACTAAATTTACATCTTGGTCCTGCCTACAAACAGAGAAAGCTGTCCCTTTGCAGAAGCCATGGATCCAGACCATAAGCATCGTTGGTGGCAACTGAAGATCTTGATTCCTGGCTTCCTTCTATAGTTAATTAAAACTTTATTTGATGCAAAATGCCCAGCTGTCTCAAAATTATCTATCCAGGGCACTATGCCAGGTTGTTGTATAAACTGCTACTTTTTCTGTTAATATTTTTAATTGTATGATGACTTTGTTTTTATTATCTGCATATGAGAGAGAGGGGGGACTACAGGTTTCCTGATAAGTGGTAAAAAGACACTGAATGCTGGGCCTGAAATCAAACTGTACTGTAATGATTTCATGTGCAAAGCATTTGTGGTATTTAGTGACATCTAGGGACAGGTAGGTGGCACTGCAGCCTGAAACATAAGCAGACGTTCCGTATGGGGAAGAAACGAAGTCCCAGGCCACCTCTGCCTTAATGACCCCACAGGATACCTTCTCGCACTGTAATTTATGGGTTTAAGATTTCTGTGACAAAACTAAAGAGTTTGCTCATGCACGTTCTTATTGCACCATCATTAGGACTACCATTTTACTAATCTTCCTTATCCATAAAATTATTTATTTTTTTCACCCAGGAGTCCAAGGCAACATGCATGGGATTTTCTCCTCCTCTTTTCCCCACAATAAGAAGCTGGTGAGGTGGGTGGGGCTGAGAGAGAGTGACTGGCCCAAAGTCCCCCAGGGAGCTTCTGTGGCTAAGAGTTGATTGGAACCCGGGTCTCTCCATTCCTCGTCCAATAACGTAACCCCCATTGCCACGCCAGCTCTCTTTTACTCTCTCAGGCAAAATGCCTGGATGTTTTTGGGAAATCTAGTTTTATGAAGGATCCAAACAACGCCATCCTCCATCTAATTTTTTGTTAGATTTGTATCGTACCTCCAGGAGGTGAAGGCAGCATACATAGCATTCCCTCCTCCAAACTCTTCCTTGAGCTGAGAGACAATGACAGGCTCAAAGTCAGCCAGGGAGCTTCTGTGGCTGAGAGCGGACTTAAACCTGGGTCTCCCCATGAAGTGTTTATCACTGCAGCACAATCTTGGCCAAACCTTAAATAATTTCCAGCCAGAGAGCAAGCTCATATAAACAAACTGTATTTCACTCAGCAAAGCCACAGATAATAACAGAGAAGGTACCGCATTCATCAGATTCTCGGGACGGAGAGAAGTCAATCCCCCCCCCCCCCCCAGTGTTCTATATACATATAAGAAACAAGTTCAAGCATATATAAGAAAACAGGCAGGTAGCCCACTGGTTTAGTTAGAGAAGGGATGGTAGAAAGAAATTGAAGAAGTCTCCACCCCAAAGAGCTGAAAGATAACTGGGTTCTGAAATGAAAGGAGTCCAGTGGTTGAAATTTCTCTAACAGTATCTGTTATCCTTTTAATAAATCTTGTGGGGAAAAAAGGATTCAGTGGAAATGCTACTTTCAGGTGCCAAGAGCCTGGCATCTCCTCATGACACAAGACAACTTTGGGTTATCATTCACCAGCCAATGGCTCAGAAAGAGCCAGGTGTGCCTCACCTCTGACTTACAATGCTCCTCATGATGTTCTCCCCCTCTTATTTGTTTCCTTAGCCCTCATCTGTATGTCTGGCTCTCCATCATCCTGCTGAACCATGACATCACCTTCTCCAGTGCACATTTATCTCTCTGGAAGAAGAGCACCAGTTTCACCAATGCCTCTGCCTTTCAGCTGTCACTACTACATATAACTATGGTTGGTTACACTTCCTAATGACATCCACAAATACCCACCCTATCTTGGTGTGCATTCTCATACTTTTATCCTGCTGGAATTCCTGAAGGGGTTTAGCTCACTGCAGCATCAGGCCTGTACTTCTTGATTCGGTTGCAATCAATTCCTTACTTCCCTAACTATACCGGGACAGAGTGCGTGGGCTGACAACAAAAGTATACTTCTCAACCTCCTGCTCATCCAAATCTGTGCTGTGATTGAGGTCTTCCAATATTCCAGTAGAGCTATGTACAAATTTCCTTTTGACTTTTCTATTTTTTTTCATGAAATGTTTTATAGATTGAATCATGCTTTCTACTGTGCCATTAAAGTTTAGATATCCAGGACTAGAGAAGCACTGACTAATTCTTTAGGACTGCAAACCGACAGATCTCCTGACTTGAAAATAGAACATGATCACTTACCAACACACTAGGAATTTCACGTCAAGGAAAAAAAAAAGCTTTTGATTGATCAGTCGCAGCCTTTGTTGCCTTATTAACAAAGCTCACAACCTCTGAGTACTTAGAAGAGTCTTCAGTCATTAACAAACGTAGACAAAAATCAAGCTCAAAAAACATCACCAACCTTTTCTCATGGAAGAGTTGGAACCTTGTGTAATAGTAATAACTCCTGATTCCTGATGACATGCAAAGAAAACATTCTGTTACTATATACTCAATGTCTGACTGAATCTATGGCCAATATATAATTCTTAGACACATTACCTTGGCCATTATTTTCTAATAAACATTATAACTCCCTGTTACTGTAAAGCTTGGATATTAGCCTCTTGCAAGGCCTTCATATCTGTATCTCCAAACAACACATCTACTGCACATTTGTCCTTCACTAGACTTGATTCATCTGCTGAAGGATCCTTGACAACATACTGTATCTGCTATGTATACAGATTTCCCTGAAGTTTATCTCCCATCCAGCTGATAGCACTGTAATTGTAAGAACATACACTGGATGTGAGCTGGTACATTACTCACTGGCCTCCTAAAAATGGTTTCCAACTCCTTGAAACCATCTGTACCAGTAATCCATCTGTACCATCACCATTCTTCCACATACATGCTGATGGAAATTCTTTAGTGCATAAACTACAGCCACAACTCCATTTCTATTTGAGCATAATTTAGTTCCACAGCATTCAAGGCCCTGGGAGCCTAATAAATAGAGATGCGCTCTACCTTCAATAAACATGCCCCTAACACATCCTTTGATGTATCAGCCTCCATCACCACTGGTTTGGATCCATCAAAATACTCCAAAACCAGCGCCTGACACAGTTTTGCTTTTATTTCCTCAAATGCCTGCTGATTCCTCTGGCATCCACTGAAATACAAAGTAATGTCCTTCCATAATCAATTTTTCAGAAGAGCAGCTAGTTCAGCCTCCTTAGGTACATAATGCAAAACACATTGGATTGACCCTAACAAGTATAAGATTCCTTGTTTATTGACTGTGGGATATATGTTTTGTACAGCACTCGCTTAATCTATATTCAGAGCAACTCTTTGTGCTGTTACCCATGTATTTCACCAAGAAAACTTCAAAATAAATGTTATTTTATGAAATTTAACATTATTCTGTCAAACTCTTTTCATTACCTGACTCTCCATCTGGCAGTGTCCAAATATCTCTGTGAGTAGAACTATGAGTTTGGGTGCTCTGCAGTAATATTGGTTTAGTTTTGGCAAGGGAAGTTGATAGCCACATTTGTGATTCAGTGGCCCAAGAGAAAATAGGTGATGAATGGAGACAACTCTTTCCTTCTCCCAACTTGTTAAGAGGAGTGGATGAATGAGGGGTGTGTGTGTGTGTGAGAGAGAGAGAGAGACAGACAGACAGACAGACAGACAGAAGGCAGGCACAAAAAGCTGAAAAAGATGCACGGAGCATTATCATGACTGTCTGCAAGGAATCCTATGGCAGTTAGAGGTTCCAGTGGAAATCTAATGTGGGGAAGAACTTGATGGGACTCTAAAGTTAAGAATAACATAGTACAAACTTATTACATATACCTATGTTATATATTACATATATCGCATATTATAAACCTATTATAAACTTCATTACAGAAATTATTTGAGTATCCAGTGATGATTATATGCTGTGTGAGGGCAGAAAGAAAAAATGGTAGATAGGTAGGTAGAAAGATGCCCTCTGCATTCATTAGTAGCACGTGTGGCTTTTTAAAGATGTTGTGGGGGAGCTTCTGTCATCATTCTCGCTGTCTTCATGTCGAGGGGATTATTATCTGCAGGGGAAAGCTTCTTGCATCCCTGGAGAATTCTGAATTGCACGGAACTCCTCTGTGGATGTACGGGATTCTCCTCTTCAGGTATTTACATTTTATACCTAAGTACAAACAGAACAAATAAAAGAAGGAACACTGATGATTAACATGCTACTAATGGTTAAAGGAAATGAATTGAAGTGTCCATCTAGTCAAGCTCCATGGCTGCTGGAGGACCTGACCGTTTTCTTGGCAGTGAAATGGACATTGTTTGCCTTTGTTTTCTTCCATTTTTTCCCCAATATCTGAGTCTAGTCTACAGAGATTTCCTGGTGCTCTCCCATCCTAGGGATCTAACCCAATTACCAAACCAGGTGACATCTGTCTTTTCTTATCTTTTCTTTTTTTAATCAGCCAAAGTGAGCTTTAGGTGCTGCCATCTGCTATGATGAACACAAGGCCCGACATAAAACTGTGTCCTCACTTCTTCTTGGCCAATAATCATCATTCCATGAACACAAAGCATGTTAAGTCTTGACTGGATTACTTTTGTTTCCTGGGTTTGGTAGCCAGGTCGGCTGCTGTTGTGTTGCCGTGAGTCAGCAGAAAGAAAGTAACGAAAAGGAGGAAAAGGGCTCAGGTGCGGCCTGGGAGGGTGGCTGTCCTGGCCACTAGCCAGGACTCTTATGGGGCGGACAGAGGCAGCATTCCCATTGGCCAAGCCTTGTATATAGGAGTTGGGGACGAAAGCCCTTGGGGAGACCCCCCTCCTCAGCTGCTGGGGGAAATGCTGCCCGTTTGAGCCCTAAGGGAGAGAGAGAGAGACAGAGAGACATGTTGCAACATTTGAGGGCTGGTCGAGAAAGTTAGAAGCTGGGAAGTTTGGACACTCTGCTGTAAATAGCTTTTTTTCCCACTAATACACACAAAAGGAGCAAGGTTTTGATCTTACTACCATGACCATCATCTGACCCCCATCCTGTCTATGCCCCCTGTTTATAGGGAAGAATTGTCAAGACTTCAACAGCATCCGATGCTACTGTACTTAGACAGTATTGTAATGAGGCAGTTTATTAAAGGTATCTAATCATCAAAGATGGTGTGTGCTGAACCAATTACTGTGGGGAAAAAGATGTATGACAGTTTCATTTAAAAGTTCAGTGTGCCAAGCTGTCATAAGCAACAAAAAGAAGGACAATTTTTTTTGCCTTTACACTACTTCAAAAGCAAAGAAGGTTTAAACATAAAATATATCTATCTTTGTTTAGCCAACTGCTATAGTGTGTTTAAAACTTGATCACCAGTTTTTTCTTCCAACCTTTCCACTCATAATATGCATCTTGAGTTCTTACGTTGAGTGCTTATATGTGAAAATAATGTCTGTTGATTTGTGTGAACTTGCTTCCATTTTACAATTAATCGTTTGTGTAGGAAAAAAAAGATGGGGAGGCTGATACTTTCAGGAAGCAGGAAATAAAGAGATGTGGAAAACACAAAGGTTTCCTTTTGTTTTAAATAAGCCGCTTTATATTATGCATTAGTCTAGTTCAGGTTTCTCCAAAGTGGTCAGTATCGACCCCCATGAGTCAATGGGACTATCCAAAGGGTCAATGTTTCTTTTTACCCCTACTTTGAGACATCAGGAGAGATCCTGGGTCCTTCTGGATGCAAAAGATATGCTGTGATTCCTCTTCAAAATTAAAAAGAGGAATTGGCATATTATTTGCACTGGAACTTAAGAAGCAGTCTTATCCTGAGTCCCGTAGCATTAACCAATCTTAACTCAGCATTGTCCAGACTGCCTTTCCAGGAGATCCTTTCCTTACAGTTTTTGGAGAACGTTGTTGGTTTAGGTGCTTCCAGGTGAAGCCTCTAAAACAAAAGACACTGCAGACACATTTCATCTTTCTACCTTGAACAGATGTTCAATGTGTGTGTGTGTGTGTGTGTGTTAAAAAAAATGACAGAAATCATGGGAAAACATGGAAGATTTTCAGATGGACAGTGATATTGATGATATGAGGGAATACAATATCACAAGAAACACCTCAACTAAAAAAGAGTATAATATTCTCATTCTCTAGTTTCTTTTAAGGTTCTCCATGAGCAGAGGTGACAAGGCACCATTTAAGGTCTAGTTTGTTCTCAAGAATCATTTATGAAAAACATGTGTCCTCCTAATCCAGTGTTCTCCTTCTCTGCACCTCCTGCTAATACCTAGATAGAGCTGCTGCACGAAGCAATTCTCCATCACATTCCTCCCATGATTTTCAAAGTGCTCGACTGTGCTTTGCTTGTTTGTCATGAAAGCTTGCCATGAAAAAAGAGTTGGCCACACTTCTGTTCCCAGCAATGTTTCTGCCAGCCAATCTTGGTCTTCTTACTGAGTTTTTGAACATTCTATGAGTAGTTGATCTATAGTCTTGGCACTTTGAGGACGTCTCCTGGAAAACAAAGATTTCCGTCCCCGCTCCCCCATCCCACAGATGGATGTGGAATCAGACCCAATATGGACTAAGTATTTCCCTAAACTAGGTCACTTGAGTTACCCTAGTATAAACCAACTATGGAGGCCTCCTGTTATTTATTTGTTTATAACATTCCACTTGTGTTAACTTACAAACGGTTGAGCCTATTTTTATCAATTCTAATAACAAGTCCCTTTTAGTCTAAGAAATAAAAGGCCAAGTTTCTGCCTGGATGAAATCCATAGGGCAGAGAGGCATTTTAGCTTCCACAGGGGGAAATGACATAAAGTTCAACAGCACAAGCTGCTATTGCAATGTAATAAAGTATAACCCCTGAGGAAAGAAATTTTAACACTGAGACACATACAAACACATGCCTTTTTTTCACAAACATGCTTGCCTGCTTATGAAGCACAGTAAACCATCAGTTTAACAGACTGATGGGGGAAGGGGTGTCCTTTTATTCTTTGAATGTGGTTTTTGATGTCTTAGTTCTACCTTGGTTTTGTTGGACCCCATCCAAAGTCTATTTGGATTGGAGTCAGCGACACATATTGTAAAATAAAATAAAGGAAAGAAAAGGAGTTTTATAGATGCAATAATACATTTTACTCATGCATAAAATGGTAAACAATTTTTGTCCATTGCATCTAAAGTCCAGTGAATTGAGAGTTTATTGTAGTCACCTTGTGCTCTGTTATCAATAAGATAAGAATTGTTCCAATGTGCTCACATACCCAGCTAGATGGCAGCACCTAGCTGACTGTGGCTAGTATCAAAAAGCTAAGCAGGATCCGCCCTGGTTAATATTGGCGTGATAGCTCTGAACAATGGAACCCATAGTCCAGCACATGTGGAACCCATAGTCCAGCACTACTTCAAGAAAGAAAACTGAACTATACTCTTCTCTCCTTCACAGAACGTCTTACAATGGGAAAATGTTCCCATCACAGACTACCAGTTATTGACATATCACTTTAGAGGTCGTATCACACAGAACCAGCAACATTTCACATGGCTGACTGCCAGCCAAATAAGAACTGGAATTCATTTAATTCTAAAGGTCTTGCCCTTTGCTTGAGTAGAATTTCCTATATGATCACACCAAAGACAAGTAGATTTATATTTAAAAGGACAGTAAGTTATACAATCAGTGCAAAGAATATGGGATAAGTTCAGAATATTTACAGGGGATCAAGTTTCCTGAAAACTTCAGTTAGATGAAAAAATATATAAAGAATACAGGGGAAACAAATAGTCATGTTATTTTACATCATATGTCATGGTAACATAGGATATATGAGTGCTCATAAAGTTTCTCGGACTTATATAGGACCAGCTATCTAATAAAGACCTCTGTTTTAAGAGAACTATAATTCACATTTTATTCTATAAACCAGTGTATCTCATGAGAGCATGTGCTTTGACACCAGGAAGTAAGAGGTTCATATTTTCTATGGAAATTAGTGGAGAAAAAAATCCAGTGTAGACATTAGTTTTCTTGTTGAATAACAGTTGGGTGTGTGAGATTTACTTTTTGGGTGAGTGTGGAAATCGGTTATACTTTCTTCCTAAATTTAGGGTTGTGCAAAACTTGGATGGGTGTTTTTATTTGAAGGACATTAAATTGAATTATCTCAATAATGCAGATCTGTTGCTGCTTTACCTCACCTGCTCCTCTGAGCACCCCCACCCCCACCCATGGATTCCCATTACTTGTCCTGAAGTAAAGTGATTAGTCCAAGCAAACTGGCCTCCATTTTAACTTCCACAGGGTGAACAGACATGTTAACTTTAACAGCACAGGATGCTATTGCGATGTAATAAATTATAACCTCTGAGGAAAGAAATTTTAACACTGAGACACATACAAACATACACCCTTTTTTTCACAGACATGCTTGCCTGCTTATGAAGCACAGTAAACCATCAGTTTAACAGACTGATGGGGGAAGGGGTGTCCTTTTATTCTTTGAATCTGATTTTTGGTATCTTAGTTTTACCTTGGTTTTGTTAATATGAAGCAGAACATATTTCATCCAACACTCAATGTGAAATGCCAGCATTGATCCAGGCCTCCTATTTCTTTTCATTGGAATGTAGTTGCTTATTATCCTTTATTATATTAGAGTTGTGCATCTCGTTCAGTTTGATGATCCAAAATTTACTTGGAAATATTTCTTTAAAAAAATGGGTGGAATACAGTCTGATTCAACTTTATTTAGTTATATGGGAATGTCCTGTCTTTCATTGTAGAATCACCTCAGCAGCTTGCAAACTCCCTAGAATCCTTCACTTCAGCTCAAAACCAAAGGAAGATATTATGAGTACAGTGACCATATTTTCTTGGAAAAAAATAAAGGGCAAACTTGAAAAAGGGGCATATCTGAAAGAGATACTTAAGGATAAAAAAATTAATTGTTTACATTTATAGCTCTGATTTAAAAAGGAAAATGCAAGAGCAAAACCAAGAAAAACTTTACAAAAATGTATATTCTAATAAAAGTATCTAAAAAGCATAAAAAGCGATGAAGTTGTAAGAAGCAAGTATTAAAAAGGATTTCTGCAATCAGACTGTGCATTAAGTAGTACCATTTGTATGGGAAATGTTAAATGACCAAAATAAAGGACAAAAGTGAGTTTTTGAAAAATAA